TTTTCCAAAGCCGTGATCCTGAGGTCTTGACACTCAGGTTGTCCATATACTTGCCAAAATACTACTCACGTTCCATCTGAGGCCTTCAGTTCCTTCTTTGTTGTCCTCCCGCGATAGTGGGAATTCATTCAGTACCAAAGTCCTCTAACAATCATCAGGCAAAATCTGAAGTAAGGCAGGCACAGCAGGCTGAGGTGCGCAGTCTGACCATGGACACGACGGGAAAGCGCCGCCGGAGGGTACCTGCATTAATTGGCACCTGCCGTCTCGTCCAATCCGGGCCGGGCACCAACTGACAGATGCACCTTCCAACCTGGTCCCCAAGCTGGCAGGCACCTCTTTCCTCTTTCCCATTTTCCATCTCAAAGGACCTACCTCAAAATAAGGTACCATGAGATGGAAAGAAGAAAGTGTATCTGTGAAACGCGACTGCCGCAACATCAGGCCAGCCGTGAATTCGTTTTGCGATCAATTGACTTTTGGACTGAAAATATTGCCACATTGCCGGCCGCAAGCCGCATTTCTCTTCCCCCATCAGCCGAGGCTGCACATCGTCACATCGACACGCGAAACCCACGGTGCGGCGTGCTCAATTATCCGTCCGGCTTTCGCTTTTTTGAGACTCACTGTCTTATTCGTAAGGTACCCTTTTACCTGTCACTGTCTATCAAGCTGTTTTTTCAAACCTCAATCATAGCCGTTTGTTCCATTCCACCGTATGAACTACCCATCTCGGACTCGAAAACTTGGCTTTCGTTGCAATTTCCGTCCCGCAACCTGCTTTCGGTCGGTGGATCTGCTGTTATCAGTCTGGGAGGAAGAATCTGGCAAAGTAGCGTTTCGTTTCCCCTGCCTTCCTTGGTCGAGTCATCAAATGCTACCACGACGACATCATCTTGCTCTCACCCGTCCGTTTTGAGCTTCTCCTGAACCAGAACAGGACTTCCGTCACGTCTTGACCTCAGGGCGCGGTCCATTTGCTGGTCCAGCCCGAACCTCCGTCTCCGAAGAGGCAAAGGCCGCTGTCGATCACCTTGCCAGCGCCGAACTAAGCCTCCTGGCGGATGGAACTGTGCCGGCACGATCAGGCCTTGCAACCATGGACTCAACCGACGACATCTGTCCCTGCCTGATGTGCCAGTCTGCTCTGTGGGACAATCAAAGCTTGCAAGGTATCGACTATTGCGTATCTAATCTAATGAATTCAAGAGTATGTAGAGAGTGCTGTCTCCCGCTTTGGACTTTCTCCTCAGCTTGACCATAGTATAGATGCGATCCATTGTGGTGGAGCCGAGACACATAACACCACAGCGCATTCGTTCTCTGTGCTCCCTCGCGGCCCTCTTCTCCGGAGTGATACCGCCGCTCAGGAGAAAGAAGATTCTCATCTCGTAACGTCGGCGCCGAGGTTCAATTCGTTCAGGCAGTCAATTCGTCACCCGTGGCCAGATACCATGCCACTTCCAAGCTTCGGTTCGCAGCACTCACCTGCAACCGACAGAGTCTAGCCAATGGGCCCCAGGACTTGCTACTCCTAGCGAACCCTGCGCTCTCTTACTGACACCAACACATCGGCCGACGTTCCAGGTAATGTCTGACAGCTTTGACACCAATGTCTCGCATTTTTTCCGACATACCTCTGGTCCAGGAGAACAAAGCCTAAGACTCCTCGTGTTTTCTCATCAGCTCAGCAACATGGAGTCATGGGCGACTGGCTCCCGGTTCACGGTTCACATACCTTTTGCAGAAAAGCAACACAAGCCACCCAACACCACCCAATGGCACCCCCAATTCAACTCATCCGACCCAAGGTGGCAGCCTCTGCACTGTCTGCAGAGCAGAGCCCAGATGCTGGATCTTGCCGAACATCCATCGTTCCGACCATTCATCTGCCTTTCCATGCCCATGTCTATCCCATCTTCAGGGACTGGCGGGTCACAGTGGCTTCCATGGCAGATACCCTACCGCTACTTACGCTCTCGAGGCCCTCGCCAGAAACCAGGCGGTAATCCGCATGTACTCTTCCGTCTCGTTGGTAATTGCTCCCACCCCCATAGCTACCCGATGACGTCGTGTACCTCCGGCTTCGACGACGATGCCCGCATCCCCCGCCAGGTTTATGTCAACGGCCTTCAGTCCTTGAAAGAGCTTGTTGCCCCGACGCCCTTCCCGGCTTCGACGGTGTTGCCTTCAGGTCCCGACATGTCGCCCAATGTCGGCGTCTGCCGCCCACTGCCACCGCACAGCACGACGCCACACCCTCACACCCTCTAAGACTACGTACCATCGTGAAGACCCTTCAAAATGCCGTCAATGAGCTGGTCCAACCAATGCCGGGTTCATCCCGTTTCCATAATTAGCACCAAATCCTCTCGTCATGCAGGGACACACAGCGCCCGTTCCCCAAGTCAGAAATGTCGTGTTTCCCTCACCTGCACCTGTTGTCCAACAACAACCGAGTGGGATTTGCGGAGATGACCTGCCTCGGACACGGCTTTGGCATCATTTCTACTGGCTGCATCGCATTTCCTTCGTCTTCAACGCCCTCTGTACGCAGTACCTAGTCGACCTTTGGGGGTGGCGCAGAAACACACAACTTCGTCATCAAATCCAGCCCATTCGCCTCAGCTCGCCCAATAACGACTGACTTCCGCCTTGCCCTGTTTACCGTCGCATTTTTCGGGACACACTCACAACTGGCTCTTGGCCGGAGAGATCCCTGATCTACAGCCTATCTACAACACAACTGCAGGAAATGAAACAGGCTAATTGTTGAAACGGAGGATTCTTGTCTTCGCCATAGGCATTCAGCCCTGCAGACTACCACTTGCAGACACCCTTTGCCGTCCATACGAGCCAAAATCCCACGCAACCCACGCAACCATGACAACTTCACCTCCTTGATAGGCAACGGGTCGAATCCACACTTTAACCTGTTGTTCAGGTCCGAGAAACGCGGGGTAGAAGGCGATGGAAGGAGGGGCATAGCCACACTCTGTTCCTCCATCATGCGCTCACATGACTGTGCTTTCAATACGATAGCGTGCTGACTTTGTGCACATCATAGCTTGTCCATGGGCAGCGCGAATGTGGGGGCTCGGAGCTGTCGGGAGGAGATTTGCTCTCTTAACTTGGCAGTTTGAAGACTGTAGTACCTATTTGTGGATACGCAGCATTCGTGATTCCAAGTTCTTCATCAAGGACTTTACTGCATGACTTCCTTGGTTTTTGATTCGATTGACAACTCGGAGCTGGTTACGGGAATGATTGTGGGTTGTTGTTCACGAGACACGTGCGAGTGATCGACGACGATGACGGGGGAGATGAATTGTCTCGCTTGATTCTGGAGGCGATTTCAACTTTTGACCGTGATGCTCGTGGTAGTAAAGGGGTTAGGGTGGTTCCAGAGGCACTGCCATTGAATCAATCATGCCCATCGATGCAAATCCCGTGAGGTGAGCTTTTGACTGGGCTACGCGCAAGAAGACGAAGTTGGTTAGAATCCATCTTGGCTCGGTTGACTAAGGTCGGTATTCGAGTTTGACGACCACGATGACGGGTTGAAGCCAGTGACTTTGCGAGGATAACCTCGTGATTCTCCTTTAACGGCTTTAAGATATTGTCGTCTTATCGAAGGATTTACATGAGGCACGCGGAGTTGTGCTTGACGGGGCGTCCTGATAAGTACCTTACTATAAGCGTATCGTGGAGTATGCCTTGCGTCCTTCCGAGGTAAGTTATCTGATACAGAGTCTCTTAAAGTCAATGGAGAGAAGCAAGATCATGATGGGAGTGATGCCCACCCCAACCCCCTCCCTGCCCCATCTCGGGGAGGGGGGGGGGGGGGTTTCCTAGTCTCGAGATTCTGATTTACCTTGCGTCTCGGTAGTCTTACCTCATCAATATGTTGCTTTGTCCTCAACTTTGGGAAAGTATTTTACAAACAGTCTCGCGGCACCTAAGAAAGTGGCGTTCCTGGATGATGGCGAGTAACGAGATTCGAGATGTTGTTTGTCATAGGGGGGATGGGGTTCACTTTGAAGTCTGAACTGCATTGGAATATCTGGGTTCGGGACTCTGCTTCAAGAAAGACATCTAAGTCGTAGTCTAAGAGTCTAACTCTAAATATGCAAATACCAAGCAAGGATGACTACTGTGGTATTGGTGTTTGGTGTTGCCGAGTTACACACGGCCGTCTTCACTTTGGCAAACGGTCATGCAAGGGCCTTAGCTGCATCCCTTCGATGGAAGCTGGTTCGTGGGAATCCTACGAGCCTTTCTTTGGCGAACGGTGTTGTCAGTTAGGATAACATAGAGGGTCTGGTATCAGTCGGCGTAGTTGGCCATGATGAATGAAGCTCCTAGATATCTTGCAATATTGGACATTTAACATGTAGGCTTTTCAATCATGTTTGGATCACTTAACTTCTACTTCCCTATTTACTTGTATGGGGAGAGATGAACTGAAGCAGATATAGCATCACTGTGGCATATTCTAAAGGCCTTGTCAAGTAAACCTTTGCGTGTAAGGATTGACATGCCAAGGAAAGATGGATAACAAGACGTCAGGCTCCTCAGAATCTTCACGCCAGCTTTTCGGCGATTGGCAGAGAGTATTTACATTGATGCCGTAAAGATATCACATAGAATGGAGTATTTATTGAAGAATTGCTCCAAACAATTGAATACGAGGGGCATACATATCTTCCAACGATCACGCGATCATCTATGGATTGATGACTGGACCCTTTCATCTGAAAGAATGTCTTGATTAGAAGATATCATCTAAAATATATGTTAGAAGGAACTTGCGCGATTGACAGAAGTAACTCAAAGATGAGCAGTTCTCCTTAGATGCCGCTTCACTTACACGGAAGGGCAGAGGAAGCCCACTTTTTGGGATCGGCGTGATTGAGTGTGGCCTGTGCGCCCGGCACTTGGAGGGGTGAGCTTCAGCCACGGTGGCTTGACTTTGCGACGACATCATCAGCTTTCCAGACACATGTCCAACAATCCCCGATTCTACAAAACCCGACCGAAATCGAACTCTTCTTCGAAAGTATCGTGAGCCTAGGTGAAGGAACCCCGGAGAAATACAATATGGCTCGATTATCATCGGCGTCACCATTTACCGCCGGCGGCGCATCCCCCGAGAAGGGCGCGGCCGAGCTCAACCAACTCTTACGACGACTCGACCATGCGATCCTCCATGCCGATCAGAGCCGTGAGCGCAGGCTACGGGCTAGCGAATTTGAGCGAGCGAGATTGAACTCGGTACGGGATTCATGATGAAGGCCAATACAGCGCGTTGCTTTTGTGCTCACCAGGAATTCCTCACAGAACCTCGAATATGCCCGAAGTCTTCTTACCAGAGTAGAGCAGGAGGCGCTGCACGTCAAACTGCTCTCCCGGAGGCAAGACATGCAGGTCGACCTGAACCGTAAACGCGAACTTCTCGAAAGACTGGTGGACAGGATGCATGATCTTGAACAGGTGCGCTCTCTTACTACCCCTCCGCCTGGAGGGGTACAGCGAATTTCCATACGTCGTTGCTGACACCTGCGCGACAGTTACACGAGGATGAGGATGACAACAGTTCAGATGGAGAGGACGTCCTGGCCGATATCATTCCCACACCGAGCGAGAGCATGGACTCGCGGTCAACAGACATACCCACAGACAACACCCCCGAAGACGACGACGACGATGAACCAGAAATACCGGACCTGCCGCCACCAGTAACGGCTGTCCCCAGAGAACCGTCAGAGGCGCCAACGGCACCAGCACGATCAGCAACAGAACCATCACCAGCGCCGCAAACACACTCCACCCCTGACGCGGGCACAACCACAACGCAGACCCTCCGCTCCCGCGGCCCAGCAGCCCGCCCAGACTCACCCTCAGCGACAACGACAGCCACAGCTCGCGCGGCTCTCTTCGCTTCCCGCCGCTCCAACACCATGAAGTCTTCGGCCTCCGGGCCCGCGTCGTCGACGGCGACGGCCGAGGCGATCCTGGACCACCAGCGCGCGGAGCAGGACGCGCTCTCCGAGTCGATCCTCAAGATGGCCAGCGCGCTCAAGGCCAGCTCGCAGAAGTTCTCGAGCACCCTCGAGCAGGACAAGGGCGTAGTGTCGCGCGCGGCGGACGGGATGGATAAGACGGAGAGGTCGATGGACGCCGCGAGCCGGCGGATGGGCACGCTGCGGAAGATGACGGAGGGGAAAGGATGGTGGGGGAGGATGATTTTGTATGCTTGGGTGTACGGGCTCATGGTCGCCTTGATTCTCTTGGTGTTTGTGATGCCGAAGCTGAGGTTTTGAGGCATATGGTGCGGTAGGTACGAAAGACCTGGTACCTGTTCTGCGCGATTCAGGACGTTTTGGCAACATGTCTACAGGGGCGTTGGGATAACAAAGGTGGGCTCCGCCCGTGAATTTGGATGCGAGGGGGCATGGCATAAGCGGCACTATCAAATGCAACGATGATACTTTTTTCCCTCCCTCTTTTGATTCAACGTATTTGCTCATTCTATCCCGTCATGTCTGCTGATATATATTAGACTGCCCCTATGCCCCGAAACTCCTTCACAAACCAATCCAAGCCACATACATCGCAAAAGCCAGCACACCGAGCCCCCGAACGATGCCGCCCTGCCCATTCCCCCTCGACGCCGACTGTTCGAGCGCCATCGCAGGCGAAGGCGAGGGATCAGGGATCCCGAACGTTGACGTCTTGATCGGTCTACTCGTCGCAGACGCCGAGGGTGTGGCGGTCGTTGGGGTAGCGCAGGATTTCGCAGACGCAATCTGGGGCCTGGACGTAGCCGAAGGCGAAGACGACGACGATGTTGACGATGACGGTGGCGGTAGCGGGTCCGTGATGAAGGTCGGCCACGTATTCGACGCGAGGGTCTGGACGGATTTCGTCTTGAAGTCGGCGCCGAAGCAGGCTAGGCCGGTTCTCTGGCTTTCGCCTGAGCCGCGGAGGAGGGTGCCGCAGACGGGGCTTTCTATGTTGCTTGAAGAGAAGAGGTTGTGTTAGTGTGTCCGATATGAAATTGAAATCAGAAAAGGGGGTTTGCTGGAAGGCGGATGGGGTAGTAAAGCGGTGCGGGGTTTTGACATACCAGCAGAGCGTCCTCTCCCCGTTCTCCGTCTTGCCTTTGCAGATTGTTTCGGCGGGGCCTAAACAGGTCGAGTAGAGGCTTCCGCAGAGCCACCTACCCGTGTTGTGGCATGCGATTCTCGAGGCTCCTGTGCCGGCTGTGCAGGTGACTACTGCGAGTTCTGGAAAGAGGTTGATAACTTTTGCGTAAGTACTGATTTCTCCTAGTACTCTCCTGTTATGAACCCGTTCCATAACCCCTGCTCTCCCTTATCACGAAGAAGGCATTACTGGGGGGAAAGAAGTCACAGACAGGTATGGGGTAAAGATCATGATGAAAGCAGAACTAACCTCCCCCTGTTCTGAAGAACCCGCACGTCTCCTTTCCCATACCCTCTGAGATGACTTGTCTCGTGGCCGGGACTCCAGGTTCTTGTTGGCCAAGCGGGGTCTTCAATTTGTCGAGCGGGAGACTTGCGCTCTCTGTTGGCATGACGATGGCGAGGGCGATGGGGTCCGCTGTCGTTGGAGAAAGGAGGGTGCCGGCGAGAGCGAGCAGAATAGAGTGGCCTCTCATATCGAATAACGAAAGGGAAGCAAGCAATGGAGAGACTACGAGACGTACGTGCCTTCAGGAACGGGCGGGCCATTGCTAAGAGGAGATGCGGAGAAGGGCATTTTGACTTGGTTCATATAAGTCAGGAGGCTCTTGGCAATTTTTTGAGGGCGGACTCGGGTGTTTTTTGAGGTTCAAAGATGGTTTGAGCGAGAATAGCAATGGTCGAAGTAGGAGCAAACACGTACGACGAAAGACACAAGCGAAGTGTGCTACCCTTGCTTGTATTCAAATTGAGACCCCAAACGAACGGGAATCGCGTCTCTTTGTTCACCTTTTCGCTTCCTCTGTCCTTATTCCATGCAAACGTTTGGCTGAGGGTTCCAAGGGCGGAATATAACTACTTTGTTGCATGGTTCCGAACCTCATGAATGGCTGTCGAGGCCATGAGCCACGGCCACGCCCTCTTGCAATAACAATGATTAGAATCAGGCGAGTACACGAGGCGTGCTCTAGCCGTCGGAAGTCATGATGTTATCGGTCTCAAAGAGCTTGCAATTAGTTCTTGACTCACTCAACATGTCTAGACCTTGCACACCTGGGAGATATCTATAAGAAGGTTGTCCATGGGATGTACATAGTATTACATGCGTACAGCTGTATCCGATATCAATACCGGTGAGATACGAGGTAACATTTGGTAGACGACCGTTATTAAGTTCTAAATAGTGGTAACTCTGCTTGCAGGATCAACACTTATATCAAAGAAAGACATAATAACTCATTTCCATCAGACCGCTTGGCCTGCCAGGGCCTTTCGCGTAGAACCAGATGCTGGAGAAACATTGAAGATTGCCACATCGTCGAGCAGTTCAAACTCAGCCCAACTCAGCCGGTTTCATCGCGCTTCCTATCGAATCGTTCGCCGGCGCCTGAAAAATATCCCGATGCTGCGCGGACGAGGATGCAGGTGACGTGGGTGACATGGGCTGATAGTTCCACTGCTCTCCCTCTTTCGGATTGATCGGAGACACACACGGCTGGTCACCGTCGAGCTCGTGGCTAGGGGACGGCGAGACGTGACCGCCGCCTCTCGACTCTCCCCGGACCGACGAAGCTCGTCTCCGTCTCACAACGAGCCATGTGGCAACGCAGCCGGCAATGGCGAGGATAGTCACGCTGCCGAGGACGCCGCCGACGATGGCACCCGTCTGGTTACTGCTGGATGGAGCAGCGCCGCCGCCACCGCCGTTGGAAGGTTCCGGCGTCGGTGCGCTCGTCGAGGAGGCTGTCGAAAGTGTCGGGCCTGATGGGACGGAGGGGGTTGGCGTGTCGTCTGAGACTGTCGAGGAGGAGCCTGGCACGGACGTGGTTCGCGTATCTGCTGGAGAAGAAGAAAAAGAAGACGTGGTGGTAGCAGGAGCTGGAGGGAGCAAATTGGTCGACGCGGTGTACAGGTAGACGAGGGGATCCCATGGCAAGCCTTTCTCGCGACATCCCCAGAGTGTCTTGTCTTGGGTACCCTCTTTCCGGCGGAACTCCTGGCACTCCCCGTTGAAGCTGTTCGTTGATGTACTATGGATTTTCCAGACACCGTTAGTGTCGTCTCCCGCCGCCAGAGAAGACGGGGTGAGGCAACATTTCAAGGTTCCTCGGGAAACGCGGGGACGTACCAGCACATTGTATCCCTTCCGCGAGTCTGGGATGGAAACGGACTGCACATGGAGTGGCCGTGAGGCAAACACGCGGTTGCCAAGGCTGCTCCACAGGCTAGATAATCATTTTGGATGGTGCAGCGGGTGTCTTCATCGCAAGTGCGTGATCGTATCACTGAGGCAGCCGAAAGAGATGTTCATCAGCACACGGTTGAGACCAGGATCCTCGGTTGACGCTTTGGCACCAATCTTTATGGTGGGAATAGAAGAATGTAGAACACTAACCAAGACCTGTCTCTTTAGATAGGGTGAATAAGCCGCATGTATTTGAGCCCAAGGTCACAGCCGTGGTAAGGGGTCTCTGCTCCAGTCTCTTGAAGACGGCATTTGAATCCATGAATACCGGCGTTGGCTGTGGCCGTGGCCATCGATTTGCCCTCGGTAACGCGGGACTGCTGTCGTTGGCTCCGAGTTGTGTCGATAGTTCTATCAGGTTAGGACGCCAGAATCCAAAGGTTTCGGCCGTCGGTATGCTAGCCGCAACGACGAAGAGCAGAACCGAGAGGGTCTGCATCGTCGGAAAGTTTGACCAATAAGAGGTAGTAACTGATTATACGAGAAGATGAACTTGTTAGAATCAACGTGTTGATGAGGCGAGGGGGAAAATGGAAGATTTGACGCAAAAGAGATGGGAAGTCGAGGCGGAGGCTGGCGAAAAGGGGTTGCCCTTGGTTTTATTCGCAGCTTTGGCCATGCGTCTTTGTTCCTCTCTCAGACAGAACAGTGAGCATGCAAGGCGGAGCAGGTTGATGGAAGGGCTGTTTGTGGTATGTTCGATCGCGACCTTGATCCGAGCTGTGCTAATTTCCCTTCTCTAAGAGGGAGGGTAGCACAAACAACCTTCTCGTGGTGTTTGCCTTTATGTTTCTTCCTCATCTCCTGGAGCGCAAACATCCTCTCAACCAGTCACTCGGTCCTCACTTGGTTTTGACACTATAAGGTCCGTTTGGTGCTGTACTTTCTGAAAAGTTTGTGAAACCAGATCTTGAACCGCCTCCGCCTCCCCCTTCCCCCTTGCTGTTGAGAGACTTGGTCGAGCCCCTACACTGACTTGGACTTTGGAGGTATTGTAAGCCGCCGAGTCTTCGAGTAGGGTAGGATTGAGACGTGGAGGCGACCGTATCTTGCGTTTCTTGGCGAAGAGATGCAATAAGTCTAACGCTGTATCACGTCCCGCGCCACATCATTCATCATTGTTGTTCCTCACAGCCATCCATTTTCTCAACACTCAGCAACTGATTTCGTCGAAAGTTTCATGAGAGAAGACTCAGGCCTACTCGCTGCTGCTATCATCCTATTGATCCTAGTAATTCTAGGTCTGCAGTCTCATGCTGTGTCCCGACCCTTTGACCCGACTTCAGCCATATCTCATCCCAGAATACCACTTCCCCTTGAAAAGCCCATAGCCCTGAGAGATGAAAAGACTCATTCAGGTTTCATCGAAGGAAGAGATACTCAAGGAATTACTCGCAGAGGTCCCAAGAAGACTCATCGACTTCAGGCTCAGACTCGGTTCGGTGGACAGAACTGGGATTCTTGGTGACGACAATCTGGTAGGTGTTGGCGCTGCCTTGACCAAAGATGACGACCATGTAAGCCAGGAAAAACTCGAATGTCTAAAAAGGAAGACTGGATGTCAGCATGTCATCCACCTTGAGACCAAAACATAAAGGACGGGGAGAACGGGAGCTGTGCAAGGAAACTCACCCGGTAGATCTTGGGGCCATACATAGCCACCAAAGCCTCTCGATTTCGCACAAAGTTACCGTACCACTTCCGGGCCGTCTCAGAGTAGTGGCGACCAACGTTGTCCACACTATTGACTCTGAAGCCGGCCCTCTCGAGCTGGTTGATCAAGGATGCGAGCGAGGCATAAGGGACGGCGTCGGGGCAGACGTACTTGGCCATCAGAAGTCTCCATACGAGATCCTCGAACTGCCATAACTCATTGGCGCCCGCGACTTCGAGGAAGAATATGCCGTCGTCGGCGAGCAGGCCGTGAATGTGCTTGAAGAAGTCTGAGTACTCGCCGGGACCGTTGTGCAGAGCCATGATGTTGCCTGGGCCCTTGTGCTCGGCCAGATGCGTGCAGACGATTTTCTTGTAGCCGCCTCTGATGGGAGGGATGTTGGTGTACTCGCCGGTGTGGTTCAGGCCTGTGAAAGGAACGTGAGGGAAGATGCGACGGGCGTAGTTGGCGAACGCTTCCCAGCCGTAGCCAATGCTGAGGACTCTGTCGTACGGGTTGAGGTGGATCTGCTCGCATATGACGCCAAGCTTGTTGTTTTCGAGTTCCTCGAGGGACTCTTGCTCGTTGGTGTCGCGGACGAGACCTGAAGTGTACAGCATCCGGGGTCCCAGGAGGCCTTGGAGTACGCCTAGATCGAGTCTCTCGTGGGCTGGGTGAACATCTCCGTCATCTGGGTACATAAGGATTAGACGTATAATGCGACCAGGGTAGGATGAGAGTCAAACATACCATGAGAGCAGAGATCTTCAACAACCTTTGGGATGAGCTTGAAGAGAGTAAAGTAGATGAGACCGAAGGTCAGACGGAAAGAAGCCCAGTCATGTCTCTTCTCGAGGATAGCCAGGGTGTCTCCGTTCATCTTGATGTCTCCGTCGAGATACATCTGGCAGAAAGTTGCCATCGGGATCTTTCTCTTGCCGCGGTACTTGACATTTGCCGGACGCTTGAAGGTCATGTAGTATTCGATAGGACGGCCGGGGAGGACGCTCTCGCTGGTGCGAGGGCTGATGGCGGAGGCGATGAGCCAAGTTCCGGCGGTAACGGGGACTGCTATAAAAGCGGCCAGAACGAGGTCGATGATGGTTCCTCCTCCGGTGCCGCAGGAGAGGTAGAGCACCTGGAGTACGATGGCGTACCCCAGGGCCAAGCTTTGACTGAGGGAAGGCATCATTGCTGTGGTGTTTTGGATGGGAAGTAGGAAGTTCGAGAGATGGACATGAGAAGCTATTTATAACAGATGCCTCTCATCACTGCTTAGTCGCTCGCACGTATTCGTAGCATGATACAAGGCTATGACTGTGGATCGTGACTGGAACTAGAGTAGAACTTAGGAGTTCTTAACATTGCTCAGTCTATTATACGTATTCGTTGTACAATACGTAACTGTCACCGGAGCGTGACTGATCTTCAAGCGGTACCTTAAGCCCCCGACATTGCTTAGTCGCTCGTGCATATTCGTGGAAAGATACGGGATTGTTGCCGGATCGTGACTAGTATTAGAAAGGAACTTAAAGTAAGCACATCGGTTTTCAATCAAACAAGGTAGAACCAAAAGCCAGCCCTTATCCAATCCTCAACCTTGACAAGAGTGGCTTTTCAGGACTCACTGTGGCAAGGATCTACTTGACATCGACGATACCCGGCTTTCAAGTGAAATCAAAAGATCTACTCGCGTTCTTGAAATATGCTGGCAACGGTCAATGTTGCTCAACGTGGCACGTGTTTTCCACATCACCAAAGAGGGAGCTGAAATGAACATGATCCTCTAGAATCAAGATACATAGTTTCTCAAGTGATCTCGACTGAAAGACCTAGCTCCATGGGGTCTCATCACGATCTCAAGTTATAAAGCACCTCGTTGGTCTTCAAACATAGTTGAAAGTCGACCATTGGATAGAAATTCCGTCGAAACGACAAAAACTCCTTTGCGGGTTTTCAAGCATACCATGCAACGCCAATCTGTATTAGGATGAAGGGCATGAGTTTGACAGACTGTAAGCAAGAAGAAAGAAAAGCCAGCCGACTTGGTCAACAGAATGATGTGAAAGCCTATGGCTTTGGAATTAGAAGATCATTTGTCTCCGTGTATTTTGTCCATGCGAGACACCACCTTGGGTTCCTCCTTTTCTCTGACTCTCTCATGCACACTTCACAATGCATCCTCCCAGAACTAAGTGCAGTAGCTTTCAAGAGGACCAACAACAGCATAATCATACAATAAATGACTCTTTATTGCATTTTGAAAATGGCTATGAATCAACCAATTCCTTCTTCCACCGAACATTTCTTTGGATCAGCTCTCCAAGCAAACTTTGGTTGAGAAAGTACGTTTTGGGGAGAAGTTGGATGGATGTTGAAGGATTAAAGATGGTGTGGAGATGCAACCGCATGCGGGGAGCCGACAGAGGGGGGGGGGAAGCACGGACATTGCAAGGGAGCTTACCCCAACTTTGGGGGCTATTTAGCGACTCCAAAAAGTACAAAGAGGCATTTGAAAATCGCTTTTGAGGAGTCGGGAATAGCTTCATTTGATATCCTGAACAACAAAAATCCCAAAAAGTTCTAGCCACAACAGGCCGATCATCTCTCTATAGACCATCCATCAAAATAGCGCAATTCGCAAATCTGTACTAGATCTTGTTTCACCAAACCATTTTACCCTATAACTCAGGAGGTATATCCAAAGAACCACATGCTTACACAACTTCAACCCTGCAGGTACAAACGTCCCTCCCAGGGCCTCAAGACCGTCTTGCCGCCCTCGGAAGCAACTCTTTCCTTGACGTCGTCGTAGTTTCCAACCCGGATCTTGGCGCCCTCGCCGGGGACCTCGACTGCCTGCTCCTCGCCCGTGAAGTTCAACGCCACGACGGCGCTCCGGCCCCCGCGCGACTTTTTATACACAAACGTCTCCTTGTTCTCCACATCAAACAGCTCAAATGCGCCGTGCGTCAGAAGCTCGCCCTCCTCCTTGCGCAACTTCAGCATCTCGCGCCAAAAGTTCAGCACCGAGCCCGGTTCCTTTTCTTGCTTGGCGACGTTGATGGACCGGTACTCGTCGTGGACGCGCATCCACGCGCCGTCCTTGTTGTCCGTGAAGCCGGCGTACGGCTTGTCGTCCCACTGCATCGGGATGCGCGCGTTGTCGCGGCCGAGCAGGTTGATGCCGTCCATGACGTACTTCAGCATGTCGCTGCCCTCGCCAAACTCCTTCTTGATGTCGTCGTAGTAGTTAAGCGCCTCGATATCCTTGTAGTCCTCGATGCCCCAGCTGCGCGAGACGTTGGTCATGCCGATCTCCTGGCCCTGGTAGACGAAGAGCGTGCCCGTCTGGGAGCACATCATGAGCGCCAGCATCTTGGCCGACGTCTCGCGCCACTCGGGCGAGTCGCTGCCCCAGCGCGAGACGGACCTGCCCTGGTCGTGGTTCTCGCAAAAGGCCGTCGTCCAGCCGTCGGTGCCCTCGATGAACTGCTGCCACTTCGCCACGATGCGCTTCAGCTCGGGCAAGGTCCACTTCTGGGCCTGGTACTTGTATCCGACGCCCTGGCCGAGGTCGACAATGTCGAACTGGAAGACCATGTCGAGCTGGCGGTCGGCGGCGCTGATGAACTTGAGGACGTGTTTCGGGTCCGGGGTGTGGGGGAGCTCGCCGACGGTGACGGTGTCGTAGTGGTTGAGGACTTTTGCGTTCATCTCGCGCAGGAACTCGTGTATCCGCGGGCCGTTGCAGTAAATCATGTAGGCGGGCTGCTCGTAGGCGTTCTTGTTCATGATCGGGGCGTCGCGGAAGTCGACACCCTTGCTGTACATGTTGACCGTGTCGATGCGGAAGCCGTCGACGCCCTTGTCGAGCCAGAAGCGCATGGCGTTCTCGTAGATGGCCTCACGCGTCTCCTCGTTCTCCCAGTTGAGGTCGGGCTGCTCCTTGGCGAAGAGATGGAGGTAATACTCGCCCGTGGGCTCGTCCCACTCCCATGTGCTACCGCTGAAGTGACTTCGCCAGTTGGTGGGAGGCAGGCGAGTGCCGTCCTCGGCGTAACGAGGAGGTTTCCAGATGTACCAGTTCCGCTTAGGGTTCGTTTTTGAGGATCTCGACTCCTGAAACCACTTGTGCTGGTCCGAGGTGTGGTTGACGACGAGGTCAAGGATGAGCTTCATACCGCGCTTGTGGCATTCCTCAATGAGTACTTCCATGTCGCGGACGGTGCCGTAGGGGCGGTGGACGTCCTGGTAATCGGAAATATCGTAGCCCATATCGACCTGAGGGCTGGCGTACATGGGCGAGACCCAGACGATGTCGGTGCCCAGGTCCTTGAGGTAATCGACCTTGTCGATCATGCCCTGGACGTCACCGAGGCCATCTCCGTTACCGTCCTTGAAGCTGGCGGGGTAGATCTGGTAGATGACGGCATCCTTCCACCAGGCTCTGCTGGCGTTGTTCAGAGTGATCGAACCCATACTGAAGACCAGTCTGACAGAGCTGTTGAAAGTCAGCCTACCTGGAGAGATCGCAATTGGGTGTAAAAGAAGGAGAGGAGGGGGGAAAAGAAGGGAGAAGGAAGTGGGACAGTAGATATGCTCAGTACAAAGTAGAGGAGCGCAGGGCAGACAGAGCAACACACCAGAACTAGCTTGCGAGCTCGAAAAAGGGTTGCGCACCTGGAAGCTCCTCGCTCTGACTTATATACATACCTACATCCTCACAAACCGGGCCACAGTCGACCTAAGCCCGGGGGCGCAACTGTCTTTCCCCGCCCCCTCTCTCGCTCTCTCTTTGGTCTCGCTCTGTCTCTCAAGTTGGATCCAAGTCAGAAAAAAAAGGTGGTCGAAAGACACTGGCAATAACCGAGGCGGGACACGAAACGTCGTGCGTGTGTGGGCCACGGTGCGGAAGATCGTCCCTCTCGATGACAGGCCGGTGCATGCAAGCGCCGCATGCGGGTGGTGGCCCTTGATCCTCCTTGGAGTCAGTCCCGAGTTTACTTGCTGCCCGCGCGGGGTGGGCGGCCACCTAATCGTGCTAATTAACTGCGTTTGCTGAGGTGCGCGTTCGACGGCTCAATGGTGTGTGGGTGGTGGTCCGCGGAGAGTAGTGGGTGGTGGTGGTGGTGGTGGTGCGCGCTGGGCGGACCAATGACTTGGCCTGAAAGGAGCTCAATTCTCGCTGTAAAGTCTGGGAGAAATACCATTGGCTCCCCCCGCGCCGTGCGGATTGTTCTTGGAAACCATGGTCCCATGTGTGTGCCCCGCGGCGATGTATCCGTTAGTTCTTGGGGGTGGTATGGCGTGGTGCTGCGTGTGCCGTGTGTATGCGTGTGTGTGTGTCTCTGCAAATAATACAGGCGAAGAAAAAGAGCGAACTCGACGCCCCATCCCAGGGGCGCGGGTTGGGTTAGCGGGTAAGATAGGCGGACGGGAAAACTCTCGCTAAAATTGTAGATCGGGGCGCTGCCGACCCCTTCTTTATTTGGAGAGTTATTGGAGTATTGGAGAGTCTTGGACCTTCTTTTTTGTGATGCATGTTCATGTGCCATGTGCCTTTTGTGAGTTTTGTGTCCAACTAAGCTTACCATCCGGTTTACAAACCTATTACAACTCATCCGTCCAACGAAATCCAACCATCCAACCCAACCCAGACAAGCTAGGGAGAGCTACCTTACCTTCAAGGTACGTAAAACCTGCGCACACTTACACCGTGAGATGATCCCCAGGATGGCCACGCAGCTTGGGCGAACTTTGCGCCGAGAAAGAGTGCTTAACATTGCCACTCTCATCCAAGTGGTTTCATTTATTCCCTACTACTCAGTACCTACTTTAATCGATAACCTGTGGTTGCTGCTGCCGTGCCGTTCTCCCAGAATGCCAAGCCTCCAGTTGGACAATGTCTGCAAATGCAAGGAGGGGGGCTATGAGTTCCAACTTCCCGCGCAAAACAAGAGAGAGTAAGGAGGACCACGTTGTTCCTTCAACCATGACTCCTCTTCACACACACGGACATACACGACCTCTCTCTATTCGCGGATGCATTATCCGCTTTTTGCCTACCGCCTCCCACACATCCGTCTGATCTACCGTCACGGGAGATTCTCCGACGACAGCTCCGACGACATGCGTCAAACCACACTTGCTAATAATTCTTCCCTCCTGGCCTACCCTCTTCTTCTCGGTACGACTCGGTCTCTCTGCCTCGCCTTACCTACCTTAGTCGCAAACAAAGTCTGAACTCTACCTCTCCCCGCCCCGAAGTTCAACCGCTTCAGCCGAACCTCCTCCTCCTCCTCCTTTTCCTCATCACCAGCTTTATCCGACCGGCTTGTTGAGATGGCTGTTCCGGTGGGAGGGCGTTCCCTTGTACTCGTTCGGGAAATATCTTCCATCCGCCCCAAGATGGATAAATCAGTATACGGCGTGGCAGTGTAACACTAACCAACCTCCTTGAAAGCTTGTTGTTACTTATCAACGACGCCAGACGGGGATTTGAACCTTCGCCCTAAACTTTGCCCAACTTTATATATCTACGAGACGTGGTTCTTTGTATACAGACCGCAGCCCCGGATAAGCCGCCCAAGGGCCCTAAGGCGGCAGGACGGCAGTGTCGCGTGCGTTCCTTGCGGCTCCGCATCTTATCTTGCCGTAGACCCCTTTTTGTTTCTCCGACTTCGACCTTCCCTCGCAACCCAACTCAATACCTGACAAGGCAAGTTTTACGTGGAGGTAACCCAACCACCCGGGCAGCTCAGACGTAGTTTCTCACAGCTTGCTGGGAATTTTCTGGGATTAAGTTCGAGTTCATCTCCTCCGATCCACCTACGCGGGGTACCCTACCCTACCTACCTTAGCTTCGTACAGATACACGTGTGAATGCATTGTAGGGCCGATGATCTAGTCGGATATCGAGGCACCCTATCGAAACCACTGGTTGAAGTCCGGATATGCTCAGGCAGGTTAACTAGATAGCTGCACACTCCAGGTTCGGCCGACTGTTCGCCGAAGTGGGCAAAATGGTCGTCTTCAGAGTTCCGGATAAGTTTCAAGTCATGTGCCATTTTTTGTGTAATTCCCTATCCTATCATACTTAATACTACAAACCGCCAGAATAGACGCAAGACGCTTTTTGGAGATCCCCGGTTCCCAGGTCGAATGAACACTCTGTGGACTACTCTACTGTCGCCTCAAAATAAATGGGCAACCCCTGCGGGCAATTCCGAGCTTTCTCTACTCCTCGTCGTCATCATCAGCATCCGCCATGCTGGTGTCTGCAGCGGGTTGTGTCTTGTCAGCCTCATCATCAGAGTCTGCGCCCGCTCCATTCTTCTTTGGGGCTTCATCCTCGTCCTCGTCCTCGTCGCTCTCAATGACCCTGCCCCGCCTAGACCGTGAGCTTTGCTGCCGCCTGCTGATACCGCCATCCTCGTCGTCCTCCTCATCGGCGTCTCTGTTGTTGTCAACCTCCATCTTGTCCTCATCATCGCCGCCCTTTTCTTCAGCGTCAGAAAGAGGAGAGCTGGCCTTTTCGAGTGCCCTCTCTGCACGGTCCAAGGGATCCTCGTCCTCATCCTCGTCATCGCTGTCGACAATAATTTCCGCAGACTTGTACTTGCTGTTCACCGTAGACTCCTTCTTTGTAAGGCGGCGCTTCTTCTTTGTTGGCCGTTCCTCGCCAGAGTCTTCGCCGTCCGTCTCGGTGGCCTTCTTCTTGCGTGATCCTCTCTTGGGACGGCTTTCGCCATCGCCCCTTGGTGCCGCCTTCTTCTTCCTCTTGACCTTGTCGCCAGTCTCGCTGTCGGTTGTCATTTCGGCCTCCTGTCGGGCCTTTTCCTCCTCGGCACGACGCTCCGCAATCTCTCTGTCCCTCGCCGCGATTTCTTCTCTCTCCCTTCTAATCTTCTCCTGTTTCTCGCGTTGCTTGTCGAGAGCCTGTTGGCGTTCCTCCTCTCGTTTCCGGAGCTCGGCCTGACGCTGCTCGAGAGCGGCTTGCAACTTCTCCTTGTTCTTCTCTTCGTACTCCTTTTGGCTAGCGATGGCTCTCTCCAGCTGCTTGCGTTGAGTGTTGTGGGCCATGTTCGCACGCTGCTCGACGTCGTGTTTGGGGTAAGGAGTCTGTGGATGGCTTGCAATCTCGTCGAGAGCAGAGATTGCGGATTCAAGCCCAGTTGCAGCCTCTTGAAGTTGCGCCAATGTCCGCTGGTTCTCGTTGAGGGCATAAACGGTGGTTGCCATTTGGATCTGAACGAAGGCTACATTGAACTTGTAGTGAACCTGTTCCGGTGCTGCCTCAAGTGCCTACAAATCATGTTAGAAGCTGTAGTCAAGATTGCCTAGAGACGGTTATTTACCTTTTGCGCGTACTTGAGCGCCTCGTGGTACGCGTCCAGGAGCTTCTCGGATCGGCCCTTGTTGAGCCAAGTACGACCCAGACAGGCGAGAATAACGGGATCGTTACCCTTGCCCTCTTTCGACAAAGCAACCTCGTAATTCTCAATGGCCTTGGAGTATTGCCTGAGCTCGGCATAGATGTGACCCAGGTTGACGTAGACATGTGCATCCTTGATAGTGTCCCGAATCTTGACGAAAATACCCAAGGCCGTCTTGTAATCCTTCTTGTCCTCGACCAACGCAATGGCAATACCCTGTGCTGCGTACGCATTCTTGGGATCCAGAGAAAGGGCCTTCTCGAAGAACTCGACCGCTTTGCTGTATGTGGCGCTCCTCTTGGCCTTGTCACTGTCGCTTTCACGTCGCATTTCTCGAGCTTGAATCAGGTACAAGTTGCCCATGCCAACCAAAGCATAGCGATCATGCTTGTCGTAGTTCTGTAGTGTGTGCTTGTAATGGCGGAATTCATGGTCCTCGTTGATGTTGTGTGGGCGCTTTCTAGAGTGTACCTTGCCCATGTACCAGCCGTACAAGGCTCGAACCTCGAGATCCTGAGGGTTTTCTTGGTACAGCTTGGCAACGGCGTCAGGTCCCTCCTTGTTGGGGTTCCTACGGAGTTTGATATACGCAAGTCTGGTCCTGGCGTCGGTATAATCGTCGTGGCGTTTCAGCAAACCTTCGTATACCTCGGTGGCTTTATCGTAAATACTTTGTGACTCGTAGCTTCGACCAAGGTTGAAGCTAATTGTGGTAACCAAAGCATCCGTGTCGATCTCTTGGTCCTTCTCGCCAATCTTCATGCAAGCACCCAGAGCCGCCTCAAACAGTTCGCTGGCCTGTTCGTGCTTCTCAGACTGCGAGTAAAAGCAACCGATGTTGTTGAGAAGCTGCGGGGGAAGGAACTTGCGAAGAGCTGCGCGGTTCTCGGCTTCATCTTCGATTCCAGTCGGACGTTCTTCCTCTGGAATTTGGTCGAGTTCTAGTGCCTCGACTTGAAGAAGACACTGCTGAGCTCTCTCGGGAAACTCATGCTCGTACAGACGGGCCAGATTTAACAAGACCGCAGCGTCTGGAGACAGCCCCTTCTTGCTGTCCTTCCAAGCACCTCGCACGCCCTCTAGAAGTGAAATCGCCTTCTTCATCTCGGCCGACTTGTCCTCCTTGCCATCCGCGTCTTCGTTCGCGAAGACTTCTTCCGCGTACAAAGTGCCCAGCAAGATCATAGCTTCGTGGTTCTTGGACTGCTGAATCATCTTCTCCAGCCGCAGCTTCGCCTCGCCGAGGTCGCCTCGGAGCACTGCTAGCTGGGCAGCACCGAACTTTGCGGGCATGTAGCCACGCTCGGCACCGCCACGCGCATCGTCAGCCCGGCGGTAGAAGTCACTGGCACGTTCTGGGTCGCCAGTGTAATGCTCCTTTCTTGCCAAGAGATACCAGCCATCACTTGCGATCGCATTAACGTCGGTGTACTGAATGGCCTTGTGTGCGAGCGAGTCTACAGTGCCGAGCTGTTTGCGCGACAGAAAGTAGCCGGCAAAGGTCGCGCATGTCAGCGGCATATTCTTGTCGAGCTTGAACGACTTCTGGGTGTACTCGGTCATTGCTTTCTTGTATAGGTGCAGGAACTCGGGACTGTTCGTAGGGATGCGGCTGCTGGCGTCAAGATGGTAGAGACCGAGAAGAATGTTTCCAACCTTGTGTTCGGGGTTGATCTCGATGCATCGCTCCCAAGCAAGTTTAGCATCGTCCTTGAAGCCAAGCTGCCAGAAACAGCAGCCAATGCCTATCCTCGGATCGGGGTCGACGAAGTTGGGCATCTTCTGCAGAACCTCTTGGTAGCTTGCCAGGGACTCCGGGTACTTTCCGAGTGAAAAGAAGGTTCGCGCCTTACCCATCACAGCGAGCATATTCTTCCCTTGCGATACTCGGATGGCGTCTTCGAAAGCCTTGAGTGCTGATCGCAACAAGTCTGCCTTTTCAGAGTCCACCTGCCCGTGACCTGTCGCCTTAGGAGTCTGCAGAGACGCTCTAAGCAGCTGCAGAACTCCGCGAGCCAGGAACAAAGGAGGGTATGCCGGGTTGATGCGCGACGCATCGTTTAGCGTAGAGGTCGCCAGTTGCAAGTAATATTCCTTCGTCTTGGCTTCGGAAGCCAGCTCGCCATCGGGCGGCACTCTCGGCGCTTCGCGACTCTTCCACAGATACATCCAGCAGAGACATCCAATCATGCTAAGCTTTTCTCTGGGGTTGTTGTCGCGCATCGCGTTTCCACCTCGGACCAACATCTCGATAGCATGGTCAATCTTCTTCTGCTTGGCGTAGGCCAATGCAACGGTCATCCAGTAGGTTCGAGCGGCGCGTTCGTTTTCGAAAAGGGTGCAAAGTTCGGTGGGATCATCGAAAAGCTCGAGAAGATCGATTTCGACGGCTTCGTCTTCGGCTTCGCCTTGAACCGGGACGTCGATGGCGGCTGGGATGTCAGAGAACCGCTTGCTGACTGGCGCGCTGGCTGCGCCATTGGTGCCATTCATCGCGCCGTTCCTGAGGGCTGACATTTTGGCGGATGGGAGGCTATGACATGCCTCGGATAAGTTTGGTGATGAAGTGGATGAAAAGTGAGGCAATCCAGAAATTCGGGGGAAGCTGGGATGAGGCTGAGAAAGATCAATCCGTCGCGTAGCACTTGCCTGCCACGCCTGCTCAGTTGGCCTTGCACATGGGTCCATAAAAGGCGCTAGGGGGAGTACTCTTGCAGCACAGCTGTTGACCAACGTTGATCAAGTTTTGATTGGTCAATCTGCCACAAGATGTCTAAGGTACAGGTGTCACAGGCAAACTCAAAGCGCCACGATATGTACTGTATACTTTAATACTCACTTACACGCTCTCATGTCTTCAACTTGCCACAAGATGAGTTATCCTACAAGAATAGCCAAGCTTTCCAAGTTAAGAATATTTGATGCAATCATATGTGTGAACTTCTTGAAGGGTCCTGTCGATCTTTCCTTCTATGACACGGCCATTGCGCAAGCGAATGAGATTGATATGTTGCCTGGAATAGAGGTACGAGTTCTGGCTCATTACTTCGGGCAGAAAAGAAGAGGAAAACTTCTGGTCCTACAATTTCTCTTTAGCTAGCAGAACGAGCTTAAACTGGCAATGCTTTTAGAATACAGAACTGAACTAGAACTTTTGACTGTTCAGTAACCCAGTGGGGGAAAGAACAATTGAGATTACCCCGATCGACCAACGGAGGCAGGTGCGCCTTCCCTGTCAACCTCTCAGCCTACCAAATACAAACTTGGTTCTTCCACACCACCTTTCACTTAGGATTCTACTTTCTCGAAAAGTGAAATCGATTCATCTTCATATTTTCTTCTCTATCATTTCAGCTGAAAAGGTATCAAGCCAGCATTCGACCGCAATTGCGACCGTCCAAACAGCTTTTATCCTCTACACGGCTTACCATGCCGACCATTCCCCAACCCAAAGCTGGGAGAGACAGAGATGGCGTTTTGGAGGATGCTGCTCACGGTTGGGTCACCAAATTTCTGACAGAGCGACAGGTTGAGGAACCAAGCGGTCCATTGCCCCCGGTATCCCCAGTGCCGCCAGGATCTCAAGTTCAATGTTCTGGATGGGGATGCCTTAGTGAAGCACAGCAGGCTGGGGTTCTTGTCACCATTGTTGTGGTATTCCTATCTCTCTTTCTTGGTCTGATGTTCTTTCTACGATCGAAAAAGAAGCAGGACAGTTGGGTTGATGGTGACCTCATCCTTGTCCGGACCAGAAGACGACCGAGACCCAGAAGCCAAGCGGCCTCTATCAACTCACAGTACTCGCGCTTCTTCTTCAGACATGAGGGACTAACAGGCACGCAGCAGCCTCCTCAAGTATTGATCGCTCATCCGACAATTCTTCATATCCCTCCACCTCCTCCTCTGCCAGTCCCGGTTCCCCTTCCCCTTCCCATGCCAATGCCAATGCCATTCCGACCACCTCAACCGATCTACCCCTATCTGATGGCTTATCAGGCGAACCGGGCAAACCAGTACCATCCGATGAGGGCGCAAGCATTTGGAAACTCTCAAGAGCCCTCTGCAGTCCCGGCTTTCCCGATTAATGCCCAGTACCAACAGCAACCGCAGCCTTATCCTCAAGCCCAGCAACACCCTCAATATCAATGGAACCAGGGGCCTGGCCTTCAGCAAAGCGAGCAGCGCTCTCAACAGCCCCCGCGAAGAAGGCCATCACTTGCGCGAAGGCTCTTCAGTCTGTTCAACAACCCAGTCGGTAGAGCGTCAACCATTGCCAGCTCTGACTCGGACTCAACCCGAGCGCCATCCATACGCAGCAGTCACCATTCGCGGACCTCAGCGACATCCGTTGCTACGCCGCCTTCTCCTGACGTACGGATGAAGAGGACTGCAACGCATGGAGCAGACGCTATAAGACCGCTTGAAGTGTCTCCCGCGGTTGCCACTGTCCAGAGTGACGACTACGTCACTCCCACAACTATGCAAGATGCTTTGCCAGTCCCAGCCAACTCGGGTGGCGAAGCCCAATATGAATCGCGGGAGAAGGCCGTCATCACCGAGTCTCCGGTCAAGAAACATGTTCAGGCTGAGCGTGATAATACAAAGACATATCCGACTTCCATACCGATAAGCGAAGACACCGAAACTGCTGGAACCCATCCTAGTCGCCCTGTCGCCAAGCCCCTTAAGAGGTATGATCTCTCAACTACAGTCATTGGTGTAGAGCTGACAAGACACAGTGCCCTGAAGAATGGAAATAAAGCAGCTGCAGGAGCCAGATTAGGCAATACGAACAAAGATAAGAAGCTCTCGGCCAAAGAAGATAGGTAAGATGCATCTCAACCTGAGCTCTCGATATCTGCTGACCTGGCCAGCGTTCATGTGGACTTCGCGTCTAGTCGTACCATCACTTCGCCAATGGCTGCGGAAGCCAGCTCGAGCAAGGGCAAAGAGTAAAGCACTTCTTCATCTTTGATTAGAATCGTGAGCTGATACGATTGATAGAGAGCAGCAACAAGGAAAATCTGTTGATAAACGCAGTCCCAAGGAGAACGCAGTCTGCGAAGTTACACGAGATCATCCAGACGGCTTAGGTACAGCCATACATTCTGCCGAGGCGCTGAAGAAGCCAGTACCGGATCCTCAAAGTAGCCCGGTCAAATCAACAGAGAACAAACATGACCAGAGCTCGAGCCCCAATCAGCACTCACGGAGATTATCGAGTAGAACTGCAGAGCTTCGGTGAGCCGCACGAAATGAATCGTTAAAGGATTGACGAGTTGATGCTGACTGATATTGAGATTCGACGTGTCTTGTTCTGATGTCACGGAGACTAGTGACTCGCTGAGCGACGACTCGCCGCCTCCGTCTCCTCCGAGACCAATCCACCAGGGCGGCGGTAAGTATGCTCCTGAGCAGCTGCGATGGATGCCATCAAGAAGAGCGTACTAGGCCACGGTGAAAGACTCATGACTGTGTTCTTGACACGAACGGGCGGCGAAGAGGAACGGTTGGTGCACGAAAATGGGTTCCCTGGAACGACTATGGAACAAGGTTCGGACCTTACGAAGAATCGTGCACTTCAGACAGCTGCCTGGTTACTGGCCAAGGGTTGGCGGTTTTGGTCCCGACAAGATAGATAGGTGGAATAGCATGTGTACCTGGCCACTTGCCTCAGCAAAGCTTGTTGAGAACCGATTTAGATAGGTATCGGGGTCAGGAATAAGGGTTCAGATGTGCTACAAGGATGTAGAGCAATGCAGACAGACGGTGCGTCCATACCCAATGGAATTCAGAAATTTGTGCAGCTGTGGTTCATAAGATATGCCGAGATGTGCATGAATTGGAAAGCACAGAGAAGCCCAGCGGGGTGTTTACTGCGGTAAAGCAGGGGTAACTTGGTAAGACAGGTATTTGTGTCACTTTGGCCCGTGCGCAATGAAGGTGAGATACCTTGTCCGGGTGCGTACGACAAAAGCAGCAAGCAGCAGAAGCAGGGCCCCCAGGGGAGGTGGCTTCGTCATTGCCTGCTAGGTACTCCGGCCGGAAAGGCACTTGCTGCACCCTGGAGCTTACCTTAGTCCAACCTCGCGCAGCCCCGATCACCTCTCCCCACGCTGCCGCCCGACAAGTCTGCTTGTCCGTATCATAACTCTCTTTCAACCGACCTTTATTCCGTCAGCCTCAAGCCTTTCACTTTTCTTTGGGACAGCTCTCAACATTAACCGAACGTTGCGATCATCAACCGCATGCTTGTCGCATGCCGACAGACAAGTGCTTTCGATCATTTCCACCCCTCTTCCCCCCCCGCAGCTCCCGGCTCAGCTGCGCATCCCCGATTGCGCATCCCGTTTGAGACTGCAAACCCTTCTGGACGATTGAATATCGACCTATAGCTTTGTTTGCTATTCCTTCCAATCCGACACCGAAACGATGTGGAACGACGAGGATAATAATCCCTATGCCGAGGGCTTTGACCGGAGAGACAGCCTGACTTCCTCTTCTGCCAACCCAGCCTCTCCTACTACCCGTGAGTGTATGTCGCGATTCTACCCCAGCTCAACCCTCGTCGTTTTGAAGATTTCAGAAAATGATGGAAACCATAGATCTGGATGATTCTTCAGACAGTACTGATGCCGACTGGGAGACTCTAGACCAGCGATTCGACATCCCTCAGACCCCGTCGACCACAAGCGATGAGGCTCCTCAGAATCGCTCCCATACCCTCCCAGACAGCGAAGCTGAGAGCAGCGACAATGAGCCGATTGCTAGAGACAGAGGCGATCTTGTCCCGCGCCCGAAGCCCGGCGGCTACGAAAGCCGCGTCGAGCAGATCCTCTGGGAGAATCCGAGCATGACTATCCTCATTACTGATGCAGGAAAGAGCGCGGAGAGCGGTGGAAAATACATTGTCTACACCATCCGGACAGGCGTATGTGGCTGTGCGAAGGATCGCTCCCTCGATAGTTGGAGTACTGACTGTTCCATAGAACCTCGAAGTGCGCAGACGATACTCGGAATTCGCGTCTTTGCGTGAGGCATTGACCCGGCTGCACCCTACCCTGATTATACCCCCCATCCCCGAGAAGCATACCATGGCAGACTACGCCGCGAACCCTACGAGCGCAAAGCAAGATCAGCAGATTATTGACCTGCGCAAGCGCATGCTTGCCGTGTTCCTGAACCGATGCCGCCGCATGGAGGAGGTCCGAACAGACGGTGTTTGGTGGAGATTCTTGGACCCCAATGCTAGCTGGGTAAGTTGAAAAGATCTTCTCCCTAGTGATCCGGTAGCTGATCCATCGCAGAGTGAGGTCCTTCACTCTCATCCAGTCGCCTCAGTGCCCAAGTCAGTCCTGAAGGCGCCGCCTTTGGATCCTGCGAACCCTACACCTGCTCACAACTTCCTTCCCGTGCCATCAGCTTCCGCCAAGCTCAAGACGACGGGCGGCCCTGGTGTCGACCCCGGCGCGATCGCTGGAACTGGGTCCCATGTCTTTGGCCGATTTCCTCCCGACAGCCACACCCTGAGCGAGCAAGAACTTGACCCTTACTTCATCACATATGAGGCATCGATCAAGGAACTGGAGCAACTGTTGTCGGGGTCCATGGAGAAGGTCAACCGTCGGACCTTGAGCCACCTGTCTGCACTGGCCGCCGATCTTTGCGAACTGGGCTCCAAGTTTAATGCGTTCGCGCTATCAGAACAAGCACCCTCTTTGGGCCCTGCCCTCGAGAGAGTGGGACAGGCGGCTGACTCCTCCTACATTGCTACTGAGGAGCTTTCTGGCTCTCTCGGTGCCAGTTTCGCAGAGCCTATGCGAGAGAATGCGCAGTTCGCAGGTGTTGTTCGCAGCGTGCTGAAGTACAGGGTGCTCAAGCGGGTACAGCAAGAGCAGACTAGCGACGAACTCAGCAAGAAGATTGCGCTGCTGGACCAACTAGAGCGCAGCGAGCAAGAGGCCAAGCGCATCGAGCAATATCTCAGCAGCAGCCAGCAAATTGCGCCAGCGCCGAAGCGGTCTACAAGCCTTAGAGAGGCTAACACATCACACCATCAGCGCGAGGGCAGTGCCGAAGACACAGCTTCCATCGACTCCGACTTCCCTCCTACGCATGGCGAGCCGGTCCCGACCGCGACCCAGGGTGTTCCACAAAGAAGCAACTCAACTCCAGGCCATAAGAAGGCCGCGAGCAGCAACTCAATCACGAACAAGATTTTCGGACCGATTCGTCACGCTATTCAAGGTGTAGCTGACGTCGACCCCGAGAGAACTCGTCGTGACATGATTGGAAAGACAAGGGAGAGCATCGAACAGCTTGAGCAAGCCAAGGTGGTCTCTGAGCATGATGTGAAGGAGGCTAGCGCAAGCATTTTGAAGGACTTGAAGAGATTCCAGGGAGAAAAGGAAGAGGACCTTCGTCGTTACATGGTAAGTTGATTAATCTGTACAGGACTTGGAGCGATTCCGTGCTGACCCGATTTATCACAGCTGGCTTATGCCAAGAGCCAAATTGAGTGGGCCAAGAAGAATAAGGAGACCTGGGAGGATGCCAAAGCCGAGGTCGCCAAGATTGACGAAAGCTGAGGGTATGGTTGGTTCATTAGGGAGAAAGGGAAATCGCGCAATGATATCAAAACAGACAGGGCTCAGAGGCCTCGAGCTGTTTCCAATAATTTGATGAGGCGTTGAGTCTATCGGGTGGCTGACGTGGGACAAGCAAGACTCATTTGGCGTTTACGAGGGACTCGACATTCGTAAAAGTCATGGGATAGTCAAAGGCAATTAATCAACTCAGTTCAAAGTACTTGACTCGAAATACGTCTCGTTTTCTAGTGTTTGGCCTCGCTTGGGGATCATTGGCCTCGTTGGCCACAGATTTGGCCTCAATGAGCGGCTGGATCTCTCTCGCAAGCCTTGTCGCTGAGGCTGTAAGAGGTATCTATTTGAGACAGAGGCTTCGAGTCCTGTGAAGAGCTCGTTAATCAATGATGTGAGTTCTGAGAGACCACAGAGACGGCGTTGATGCACGGTCTTATCTCTGTGCCTTATCGATAAGAGGCCGATAAAGCTCCGAGACTTTGGTGTCGCGAGGCTACCTAGACCAACGGAGGACCGAACCCGACTTGTACTTCCTTCTCTCCCCCTTTTGCGCAACACCAGAAAAAAAGGTCCATCCGCAACCATGGATGGCGTACAGGGTCCGCCTCCCGAGGGCCCGATTGCCTCGATCGCAGAACCGGGCATCAAGGCCGACGGTCAACTGCTGTTCGACCTGCGCCGCGAGGTCGCCAATCTCTTGCATCGCAACCAGACCAGCTTCCCCGGCGCGCAGCCCGTCAGCTTCGCGCGGAAACACGTCGATGAGTTACGGAATAGAGAGTGAGTGCTCCTTGTCGCGCCGTTCACACAGGCTCCAGCCTTTGCACACGTTCGTTTGGCGATTGTCTTTGGCTACCGGAACTCTGGTAACTGGAGGCTGGAAGGAAGTGATAATTCGCAACTCTTTTCGCTGACATCTAGCGCGCTCGCGAGCGCGACCAACAGCTACTATGTTTGCGAAAAGTCAGACGGCATCCGGTATCTGCTATACCTCACGGAAGACGAGGGCCGGGAGATCCACTACCTAATCGACCGGAAAAACGACTACTGGTACATCAAGAACAGCAGCTTCCACTTCCCGCGCAAGGACGACCTGACCAAGTTCCACACGCGCACGCTCATCGACGGCGAGCTGGTCATGGACGACACGGGCAAGGGCACAAAGGAGCCGCGGTTCCTCGTCTTCGACTGCCTCGTGCTGGACGGGCAGGACCTGATGTCGCGGACGCTCGACAAGCGGCTCGCCTACTTCAACGAGAACATTTACAAGCCCTACCGTGACTTGTTCAAGCAGTACCCGGAGGAGCGGGACTTCCAGCCGTTCCTGGTGGAGATGAAGGCCATGCAGCTGAGCTACGGCATCGAGATGATGTTCCGCGAGATCCTGCCCAAGCTGAGGCACGGCAACGACGGGCTCATCTTCACGTGCGTCAGCAGCGAGTACAAGCACGGCACCGACCCGCACATCCTGAAGTGGAAGCCGCCGGAAGAGAACACGGTCGACTGCCGGCTGCGGATGACGTTCCCTACGGTGCAGCCGGGGGAAGGGGACGAGGAGGCCGAGGGCCCCTTTGTGGACTACGAGGCGGTGCCGCGGGCGGAGCTGTGGAGTTTTATGGGGGACGGGCGGTATCAGTTCTTTGACGAGGTGCATATTACCGAGGAGGAGTGGGAGGTGCTGAAGGGCCTCGGGGACCCGCTCAACGACCGCATCGTGGAGTGTCACAAGGACGACCTGGGCCGGTGGCGGATTATCCGGTTCCGCGACGATAAGTCGGAGGCGAATCACATTTCTACCATCAAGAGCGTCATGGAGAGTATCGAGGACCGGGTTACGGAGAAGGATCTTGCGGAGGCGGCTAAGGGGATCAAGGATAATTGGAAGACGCGGAATGCCAAACGGTAGTCTTTCCATCATTTTTTGTTTTTCCCTACGCAAAGAGGAAGAGGAGACGAGGGGAGGAGAAGCCGATGAGAGATACCTGGTTGGATTCTAAAGGTGGTCAGGTACGGGGGGTTGAGGATGCATGGCGTGGATGATGTGTGAGTACTGTACGTGTGCGGATCAGGATTGACGATGGCGTCTTGGTGTTGTGTTTTATTGCAAAAAGCTCCTCAAGCAAACAGAGAATACGGAGGGGAGGTCAAAAAGAGACGACGGCGGAGGTTGCGATATTGCCTCCTTTCAGACAGCCCTCATCAATTCTCTGCTCTATTGATGTCCGGCTAGGATGTGAGCATGAAGTACTTTGGCGTTTTCCAGCTTAGAGGATAAGCGTGGAGGGCATACCGGTTTCCCGGGGGCATGAGAGTGTATCGAGTACCTTTGAAATGAAAAGAGTAATTCGTATCACTAGAATGGACCTTTTCTTCTCGGATTGAGATCAACTGGCTGGTTCCGAGACTTCTTGTAGGGGAAAGGCCTGCAAAATCGCACTCTTTCCTAAACATGACCAAGTCAGATGTAGTGGAATACTTGTTCCACAATCACAAGCCAAAAAGCCCAGCAAGGGATGACACGGAAGGTTTCGTACCCATTTCTTGCTTGCTACCATTCGCTTTTCCCTGATCCAGATGAATGTTTGATTCAGATCTACCAGGGTCTGGGTAACTCCTCCTCGCTGGGTTGGTCTCACTTCCACAAAAAAATGTAGACATGGCAATGTCGCGGTCGGTGCTGACACACTCCCATCGCCGTCCCCCGACTGAGGTAATGAAATGGGTAAACCAGCGGCGCTCGGCACCTTACCTAAGGTAAGAGCTCCAGCTCTCCCCAACAAACCATCAAGCTCAGGAAACAAGTGCGCGCCGCCCCCCGCACCAGGTAGGTAGTAGTGTCTGAGCAGGCACGGACACTGGGGACTGCCTTCCGTAACCTCGAAGACGTCACAAAAGAAAGCCAAAAGCTTCCCGTTTCCCAGTCTTACATTAGCCCACGCCGTGGGAAATCGATTACTCGGGCGGCCAAGGGAGGGATGGAATGGCTCAAGGCAGTGCCTATCGAGAGAAGTCCGAAGCTGCAACCTTGAAATCATCATCCTGGAGACAAGCTCCCCCTTCTTACCATCGACCTCAGTCTTTGCTTCAATCCTCAATTTCCTCTTCTTCCTCTCTTCTAGATTTGTCCTAAGGCTCACGATAGATTCAATTGGCGCCTGTGATACAATACGACCACCTCTGTACCGCCGTTTTATAATCTACGTAACGTCACGCTTGAGAAAATAAGTCGGCCCACGGTTTGGTCCTGCATCAGTTGCAGCATCGCCGCCCACCATGATCCTCGGACCGGTATCACTGCTCGACTGTCTGGTCTTTGTCATCTTCCTGACGCCGCAGCTCCTCATCAATGTTGGTTTCTTCCCAACGGTAGTGGTCACTCTGAAGATGCTGCCTTTTCTCGTGTTTCAGCTGCCGACGTCCCTGTTCCACGAGCGGTATCTCCTCAGCCACGACGAGCAGTCGCCTTTTGTGCAGCGCGCGAGTTTCTTCGAAGATTTAGTCATACGCTGCGTGCGTTACGCCTTTGCAAACTTGCCAACCAACATTGGACGTGTCTTCTTCTCAAAGTACATATCTCTGCCGTTTCTGCGGTTTCGAATGCTGCGGCATGGCTATCTCAGGTCACCTGCAACCTGGAGTGAGCACAAGGAAAGGGTGAGTGTAACCTACATCTCAGTGCACAATGGCCGGTGGTTGACTTGAATGATAGGGCCAACACGGCTTCGAAGGGGTTTGGATCCAAAAGGATGCGTCGCAACCGCCCGACATTGTGGTATACTACGCCCACGGAGGCGGTTTCGCCATGGGCTCCGCGTACTTTTACCTCGAGTTTCTTCTGTCGTGGCACTCGCTACTCGTCCAAGCCGGCTACCGGAACCCTGCCATATTCTCTCTCGAGTACACCCTCGTGCCCGATAAAATGTACCCGAGGCAAATGTACGAGACTTTGAGGGGCTATAAGCATGTCCTGAAAAAAGTTGGAGACCCACGTAAGGTGGTCGTTGCAGGAGACTCAGCGGGAGCAACCCTGATATTGACACTGTTGCTGGAGCTGGGCCACATGAACGAGGCCCGGGCATTCAAGGAAAAGAGTGACGATTCCACCGCATCTGAAGGTCGAAGTCAGGAGCACTTGCGTCAAGCCTCAGAGTCCCCGCTTCCAGGGCTTTGCGTCTTGATTTCGCCGTGGGCCAAGCTCATTTCCAACAAGCATGAAAATACGGCCAGCGACTTTCTGGATCGCGACACGCTATGGAAATACGCGGTGCAGTATGCTGGGGCAGCGCATGTCTACGACAAGACCGCGTCGCCTGGGCAGTGTGCCGATCCTCGGGTGTGGGCGGAAGCTAGTCCACTTTGTGGCTTCTTCATCACGTACGGATCAGAAGAGGTGTTCGCACCCGACATCAAGGATCTGATTAACGTCTTGGTCAAAAGTACCGAGGTCGACAGTCGCAGCGAGGATGGCGGGATACACGCCTGGCCCGTTGTTTCGTTATTCCTGTCAAGCACCGAAGACAAGAGACTCAAGGGTCTGCGGACACTCACGTCAGCCATCAGAAAACACATCCAGTAGAAAGCCTGTCAAAGGCAGATTGTTGTTTTTTTTAGAAAAAGTCTGATTAGATCAAGTAAAAACTGTCATAGACCGAGGCACGCCAACCTCGAAACCTGAGTTGGGACAACTCGGTTTCTACAGTCGTGGCCTCTTGGGGTGGTCTCCAGCTGTTTCTCTTCGTTATCTTCATCCCTGGCCACCAATAGGATATGGCGTAAACAATAGAATTTAGTGGTTTGATTACCTGCATAATTGAGTTGCGTTCCTGCATACCGGGCCGTCCGCCGACAGGAAATTACGACGGTAGTAGGGTGAAATCTGTTCGGAAAAACGTTGACAAACATTTCGCGAAGACGCGTTGAAGGATGCAGATAAGTTCTTCCTTGGTAGCCCCGCTGCAAAGTCGCTTCGGCGGGAAGGGCGATTGGCGACCTAGACCCGGGGCCCGGGGGGCAGCGCATTCACTCGAGGTGCCGTCGCAAAGCTCAGACGGGCAGGGAGCTGTGGTGGGTCTCGGATGAAGTCATGTGTGGTTCAAACAGTGACGAGTCGAGGAGCGCGACGGCTTTGCGACAGAAAACATCTTTTTCGGACGACGGGGTTCCTTGATGATGGCGCGCTGCAGAAAGAGCTCGTCTGCCTAAGGAGCAGGGAGAGTGCCAGCTCCAGGCAGCATTGAGGGCAGATGGCGGCGGGGTTCGACGATGTTGGGTGTCTCATGAAGACAAAGCAAGCTCGTCCGTAGGTCAGGGCCACGAGGTATAAAGGCACATCGAGAATGAAGAGTAACGAGACAAGATTTTCTCGAAGTCCAAGGTTGCGCAAATGCCAGGTCTAGAATCTGAAAACAGGGGCCGAAACGACATGAGGGGAGCTGGAGCTGAGACGGTAAAAGAGATCAGCCAGCCTGCCGTGGCCTACTTTGCTTCGGTTGAGCCATCCTTTTCAGCCTGCCTCACGTTACTTCGCGCCTCGAGATGCAGCCACGTCTGCGAGGTTGCGACATGCGGCGGTAAGCTGGGACGAAGGGGGAGACATCGACCATGTGGCGAAATTAGTGATGACGCCGATGAGGTGCGACTATTTTGGCGCGAACAGAATGACTGAAGAGATCCCGGTACCTAGGTTGGGAAAGAAGAAGAAGGAGGAGGAGGAGGAGAAGAAAAGAAGCGTTGTTCAAGAAACGGAACTGAAGAAGGACGTGCCGACTTGGGCGCAATGTGAACATTCGGGACGCCTTGAAGATACCTTACCTTCCGTGCTCCCTGATGAAGGAAGGTAGATGGCCAGGCAGGTACCAATAGAGCTTAACTAGCACAGAAAGGTACAGAGGCCGTCAAGCAGGGGACTAGCGGCTGTGCTCATGCAGGATTTGGGAAGGCGTGGCCACAGCTCGGGCATCCTGACCCAATCAGCATAGCAGCGTGACCCCTGCCTGGGCGTGTTTTTGGGGGGGAAAAGCAGAGGGCAGCAAGAAAGGGGAGTTGGGAAGGAGCTCTGACCCGCGACGCGCATATAAACGGTGGACATTCCCACCGTGATCCATCGCCAGAAGTGAAGGAACCCGCACACCGCGAAAAGAAGGAGCCCACCCAGCCGCTGGCTGCACCTGCCACCGACCGCACCGCACCCGCACCTACCGCACCACCGCACCGCATCGCCGTCCGCCCCTCCGCAGTTTCTCGACCCGTCGCATCGTCCCACGGCCGTCGCTCTTTCCCTCCCATTCAGTGTTCTCCTTCCTATCCAATCATTCCCATTCGTTCTAGCCCATCGACCACTTCAATTTCCACGGCCGGTGCCAAGAAGGTGCACACTTGGTGTGCTTGCGCCCAGAGTGTGCCTCCCTGTACTTGTGTGTGCCTGCGCCTACCTACTTGCCGCCTGGCCTTGCCTCGTCTGCCTGTCAGACCGACTGCATCCTTCCCGATGGACGCATGTCAACTTTGAGGCTCGATTGACTAAACCTTGCCACCTGGACTTGGAAAAAGATCAACGCCAACAAATCCCCCTCCTCCTACTCCGTACATAACTTCACACTACAATCCCGTTCAAACGCAACCCCTTTTCCTCCCAATCCTGAACACCTCCCACCACTTTATCAGAGCATCAGGCCGCTTCCGAAAGCACCGCTGCTGCCCCGCACAGGAACGCCTGACGCCGTCGCACGCCCCAGGACTGAACCCCGAAAGCCCCAAGCTTACAGAACTCCCATCACCCCTGGCTCGCTAGACACACCGAAACCTTATTGAGTGTCACTCCCAGTCTCTAGGTCTGACTCAGCAAAAACGCCATTTACACACCTTGGATCAGTAGATCACCTATTTGGCATATCAAAATCTCGGACAAGCTTGTGTCACAGCCACGCTCCCGACGTCAATCAGCATTCATCATCCCTCAGGCCACACTGAGTTCCTCACTCTCACGCGGTCTGGGATACGTAGACTGTGTTCCGAAGCAACACCAGGATTGGCCAGTTGCGACGTTGAGTCTCAACACCCACGCATACTCACTGAGCGCCCAGCGAGCCTGGATTCTCTCTGTACTGCAAGTGGCCGTTTCATTCTGCTGGACCTGGGACGCAGTTTTAACCTCGATCTGCAAGTTGCAAAGCGATTATCCGGACAGTCCTGATCAACATCCTGCCATCCACCGTTTAGGTCCGGCACACTGTTGCAAACAGGCTAGGGTACTGAGGATATTACGAATCCCTCATGTTGTAGGCCATTTATTGGCTTTGATCTCATCTCTTCGTCATTTGCTCTTGTATCGCAGCGCTGCCCAACACGTTGGCCGAGGCTGCCTTACACACGCAAAAACATCCGCACTTCTCACAAGGCAGTTGCGCCCAGTCTCGCCTTGTTTTCATATTCAAGCCGAGCTTCGCAGCAATACTCTGCCTCGATTTACTGTCACCCTCAACGCGACTTGCATTGGCCGTACGTCTGTCGGAACTCTACACCTCTGACTCCCGAGGATATATGACGATAGAACAGACCGTCATTCCTTTCACCGCACGTAGCAGCCCACGCCTGAATCAGGACTTATACGCCGTGCTTTTCTGGGCACATATCCACTCAGCGACTGAATACGGGACACATCCATCATTAGACGCAATCACAGAACCATTGCAAGATTATTCCTGCTGAGAGAGACGACCTCACAACTGCGGACAACAAAAAAGAGGTGGGGGTGTAGGCTGGCTTTTGTACTCAAAAATCAGTCCCTGCCCTTCGCTTAATCATCCAGTGTCCCACGCCAGCCACATTTGGATTGGAACCTTGGCCAATTTTTTTCGGGGCACCAGCCAAGGCCCCCTGTCGTTTGGCCTCCACTTCCAAATTGAAAAAAAAAAGCGGCCATCAATTTTTCCAGAAGGGCCGGAGGTAGAGGGGGAAAAAAGTAATAAAAATGGCGGACGACACGACCTACGCACCAAAGTCGCCGGACCTCTCTTCTTTTTTCTCGGCAGCACCCGCCCCGCCTACACCTCCACTGCACACTCACAGTCTGCAGCACTACCAGCAACAACTGAGCAAGCTCCAAACCTCTCCGTCTCCGTCTGCGTCCGCGTCTGCTGCACCACCGCCCGTATATGAATACTCCTCCCCCTCAGCACGCATTCACCACCCAAGCCAGTCATCTTCTACTCCTGTTCACATCAAACAAGAGCAGCCCCACTTCCCATCACCAGCGGCAATCAAAACGGAATTCTCTTCCTATCAGCCACCGCTACAACCCCACCACCACCAAGGTCAGCACCAGCACCAGTACCAACCGCTTCAGCAGCAACAGCACCACCAACATTACCTATCTCCTCAATACCACCACCAGTCGCCGCCACATAACCACCCATCTCCGCAACATCCCCCACCACATATGCAAAGCGCGTATGGGATACAGCCCGTTCTCAACTATCAGGAACAGCAGCCTCATCAGCCCAAAACACCTCAAAGCCAAGGATTTCTAGACCAGAAAAACTTTGGTGGAGCACCCCAATTACACGATATCCCCTACAACCCAGATACACAACATCTACCACAAACACCAGCTTCAGCAACTATGCCTCCCAGAAAGAACACAAAGCAGGCTGACTCGCCACCTCCAATTGACCCTTCACCCGTTCGGACAAAGTTCCCCACAGCCAGGATAAAGCGTATCATGCAGGCCGATGAGGAGGTTGGTAAGGTCGCCCAGCAGACTCCCATTGCTGTTGGCAAGGCTCTCGAGATGTTCATGATTGCTGTTGTCAGCCGAAGTGCCGAAATCGCACGGGAGAAGAACTCTAAGCGTGTCACGGCTCAGATGCTCAAGCAAGTCATCGAGACAGATGGCCAGTACGACTTCTTGGCGGACATTGCTGCAAAGGTTGGCGACGAGGAGAAGAGAGGTGGTCGCTCCAAGGCTGAGTCGTCAAGCGACGAGGAAATGGAAGTTGAGACGAAGAAGAAGGGCAAGGGCGGCCGTAAGAAGAAGGCCGCTGCATGAGTTCTCTCATTCTCAGCTTGGGTCTTGAGGCGAGGGAAGGGAAGGGAAAGGAATTTTCCCATGATGAGAAATATGACAAGGGTTATGAGGATTGGCGTTGGACTGGCTAGCATCTACATCGGCGTTGGGTGACACGGCGATAAACTCGTCGAGCCGCACCTGGGGGGAAATATTACATGGTTTACCTTACGGAAAGGAGGAACAAGCGCTGCTTCCTCGACTTGCATGCCATGGACGGCTTGTCTTTCTATATGCGCATCGAGCCTGTCTTGGACAAGTCTTCTTACGATTTTAGAATGAAAGCATTTTATCGTTTGCACACATTTTTCCTCTCACAATGTGTACGGGATGATGATGAGCCGTGCCTTGAAGCGTCTTGCTGCGGTAGGTACCTTCACCAGGGGACGTCTCATGTGGAACTCACTTTCCACTCACTCAAAGACACCCTGCTCATATGAGGTGGCTGTATTTTATTCGTACCTCACTGTGGTACACTTGAGCTTGACATTGTTGCCAGAGTATGCTTCATTCATCGAGTGACACTCCCCATTTTGACCTGTCTGTCAATGAGACTCTCACCTCATAGAGTCAACATGAGAATTGAAGTCTTACCACTGGAAACTCAGAAAGAGAACTCAGGAATCGAATGCAAATAACGTCACATATGCAGATAAAACGATGATGCCCCGCAGACAGGGGTTTGGCCGTCGCCCCCATTCGTCCTAGCGCGCGACCTTGATCCTCTCGGGTCCGGCACTCTCAAGGTGCGGCTGGCCCCCCTCCTCAGAGGCTCCCGCTCTCAGCGGCAGCATGAGCCAAGGTTCATGCTCGCTGAGGTAACCGGCGACGTAGTCTAATTTGAGGCCAGAATTTTTAGGCACTAGTACTGGGAAACGGCGGGTCGTGCATGGGGCATTCCTCCCACCTTCCAAGTCATGCCCTCAGATTAGTGGACAAATCGACATCCAATTCACGGCGGAGAGGGAGCTACCTATCTGCATCGAGTAACCGGCCACCGTGTGTACCTGGGCGTCTTGTCTCCCATCTTCTTGCGTGCTGCGACTGCTCGAACAATTCTCCCAAGTCTTCTGAGCTTCCCGCCATGCGAAACCATCCCTCGACCTGCGAATCCCGTTCATGTCCATGATCAAATGAGGCACCGAGCCTCGCTGCACTTGCATCCTTCAATCCGCTCCGTGGCGTAACCAATGTCGTGGGACCTGCTCAAGCGATTCCTTGAGTCCGACGTCTTCAACTCGAACCCCTTTCTCTCGGTCTCTTACCTTTCGTGAGCGACCCTCCCCTTGCGCCCACCCGTCGCCGTCATGCGCTATGCTCTCAATTGACGCTTGTTTCGGCAATTGGCAATTGGGATGACCTCTCTGCTAACCCCTAATCTTTCCTTCCTCTAGTCGTTACGCCGACCATGTGGGCATTCACTATGTCTTGTGCAATAAGCTGCGACAATTCCCCTACGAGGATATCGAGTTCTTCCTGCCGCAGCTATGCCACCTAATAATCAGCGTCGACAACGAGTCCATGGCCTTGGAGGAGTTCCTCCTGGACTTGTGCGAAGAGTCCGTCACCGCTGCGCTTCTGGTTTGTTTCGTCTCCCCGCTGTCGCGCTGCCGTATTCGCTCACAATCTCCTAGACCTTCTGGTTATTCCAGACGTACCTACACGATCTATCGTCCAATCCGTCGTCCAAGGCCTTTCAAACATGCCGGAGGGTATACAACAAGGTGCAGCATATTGTGTTCGGCCTGCCAGATGCTGCGAGGCACGATAAGATCAAGGAGAACATCTTGCCCGTCACGGTCCTGGCGAGCTTCGTCTTGGCCAGTGTCGCGGTGCCACTAGTCCCACAGTGGGCGGGACCACTTGCCGTGGCACAGGCTAGGAAGCCTCAGCCGTCCGACGACCTCATATCCGATTCTCGAGATAGCAACCCCAAGACAGCGCAGGTGACGCGAGCCCACACGGTGACGGCTGGGAGCACGAGGTCTAGGCGTACGAAAGATGGCGGGCGGATGGTCAGCGCGCCGGATCTGGTATCCCCAGGCGTCGCGTCGTCCAACTTGCAGCATCGGTCGACGGATCCATCTCCGTCTCGGCCAGGTTCCTCTGGCTCCAAGACCCCCATCGAGGTCAAGCGTCTTCCGTCTCATCTCAACATGAAGAACGATGACGCCCGTCTCAGCTCCTCTTCGCTACCTCTCCCTGAGCTACGTTCCCCGAGGCTGGCCATAACGAGACCGGCAACACCAGTATCGGCAGGATTTCCCCCACGCCCTAACGATGCTCTTAATAGGAGACATTCCCTTCACTTCAAGAGCGGTGCCGCCGGTTCTGACTTGACAACGCTGCAAAAGACTAGATTACTGCGCCAACACTACTTTAGATGTGAGACGCAATTCCTGACCGCGCTAGAGGGTATCTCCAATAGGCTTGTCATCGTGCCGAAACCCGCTCGGCTCAGTGCTCTCCGCGCGGAGCTGGCCCTCATAGCGCAAGACCTGCCGGCGGAAGTGGACGTTCCAGTTATTTGCCCACCTACCCTGGTAGATGGATCCCCAGCAAAGAGTCGGCACCATCGAATTGTTCGTCTGAATCCAGGAGAGTCGACAGTGCTGAACAGTGCAGAGAAGGTGCCATATCTTCTCATGGTTGAGGTACTGAGAGATGACTTCACATTCGATCCGGATACGCCAGATAACAAGAGGCTTTTGGCCACTCTCTTATCCGATCCCGGTCACACCCGACGTATTTTTGACCTTTCCGATTCACCTCGCATACCTATAGCACCCAAAACACCAGAGACAATAGTTGACAGCGTGTTTGAGCCGGTTTCTGGCGACTTGGGAAGCTCTCCCCTGATCAAGCCTTACGATGACGATCCTTTCCAGAAACCCCAGGGGAAACAGGTTCCACCGTCGCAAGCCCAACGTCTTCCGAGCGCTGGCACATCTGCAATGTCGACTGTAATGTCGGAAATCACAACTCCGCGGAGCTCCAGAACATCAACCTCGAGATCGAGCAGTCCAACAGGCCCACTCCGCAAGATGACACTCTCTTCGCGGCCTAATGCTGTGGTTGATCAACCAGATTTCTCCGCGCTCGCTACCCACATGCGCACAGCTTCACAGATGTTGGCTCAGCTCGAAGCTACGAGCGGCAAGCGACCACGACATGAAGTACAGGCAATCCGAGCCAAGATTATTGCGAGCATGCAAAGCTTGGAAGAGCAGAGTTTTGATATGGACGAGCAGGGCCCGACCTTTGACACCATCATTGCCAAAGCCTCTACCGCGCAAGCGAACTCTGTTGTTGCAGCTACCGAGGCCCCTGAAGCCGAGAGCGAATCGCCCGTTGAACCGGGGCCCAATGCCGGCGCAGGATTGGCGCGAATGGAAAACGATATCAAAACTGGTGGTATTCAGAGTAAGGGTGACCGCGACGATCCTAGCGCGGCTGTCTTCGGTGAGGCATGGCAAGCTAAGAAAGAGCGCATCCGCAAGACTTCGCCGTATGGATGGATGAAGAACTGGGATTTGGTCAGTGTCATTGTCAAGACCGGAGCCGACTTGCGTCAGGAAGCTTTTGCTTGCCAGCTCATTGACGTCTGCCACAAGATTTGGGTCGACGCGAAGGTCAACGTCTGGGTCAAGCTTATGCGGATTCTCGTTACTGGCGAGTCCTCGGGTCTGATTGAGACCATCACCAATGGTGTGTCGCTGCATTCCATCAAGAGAAGTCTGACGTTGTCAATGGAGACAAGTCCTGGTCAGAAACGCCGGTTTGCTACGCTGAGAGATCACTTTGTGAAGGCGTTCGGTGCTCCGGATAGCGAGCCTTTCAAAGCGGGTGTGGACGCCTTCAAACGCTCACTGGCCGCTTATAGCATGATTTCATACATCCTGCAGTTGAAGGATAGACATAACGGTAACGTCCTGATCGACAGCGAAGGTCACATCGTCCACATCGATTTCGGTTTCATGTTGTCCAACTCGCCAGGCTCTGTTGGTTTTGAGGCGGCACCTTTCAAGCTCACTCAGGAGTATATCGAGGTGCTCGGTGGCATTGGGTCTGATGATTACGAAGACTACAAGAAGCTCTGCAAGCAAGCTTTCCAAGGTAAGTTCTGTATTGAGCTTGGGGAAATAACATGGCTAACTCAATTTCAGCTCTGCGGCGGTCTGCGGATAACATTATCGACTTGGTGGCCATGATGGGGCGTGACTCAAAGATGCCATGTTACTCGGCGGGAGTTGTCCAGGCCACACACAACCTTCGCCAACGCTTCCAGCTGCAGCTGAGTGCGGACGAAGCGGAGCAGTTTGTGGAAACTGACCTGATTGGCAAGTCCCTGGGCAGCTACTACACACGGCTGTAAGTTTGAACAGTGTCTTGTCCGCAAAAAGCTCATACTAACGTGCCTCTTCAGCTACGACACCTTCCAATATAGAACGCAAGGCATTTACTAGACGGTTGTGACGACGGAAACAAAGAAACTTCGATCAACAAGCTCTCGAAAGCATTGGGACATGAAACGTGCATCTAGGCATTTGGGCGGCGTTGCGGTTGAATAGACGACTTGAACTGAACTGAACTGAACTGGCTAGGCTGGTAATGACGCAGCCGAGGAACGATCTTCTCGGTCATTTTTTTTTTAATGAGTTGATGGGGGAGGGACAGTAGCTGTCAAAAGAGGTATAGCAGATAACTGGCCACTTGAGAGTTGAGCGCGAGATATAGGATACCGAAATATGCTGAAATAACATTATATATCCGAAAGACGAGATTGGAGCATCTGTATCAGTGACGGGTTCTCGTCGTGCCCTGGAGTGGTTTTGTGCCGCGTGACCCAACCTGTGAAGTGATGGGTACTGAGGCGAGTGCACCTTTCGTGAAATACACATTGACGAATACACCACAACCGTCCCGGCCCTACATCTATAAGGTAGAAATCTTCGAGTGGAAGGCATGAGACCGGTTTTGTGTTTCGTCATAGACACGAGTGGGAAGGTTGTCCGCGGGCGAGAGTTGAGGGCGATCATTGTGTTTTCGCATAGCTATGGATCAGCAAGGCGAAGAGGGCGGCTAAGAGGGAGCAGGGGGCGGTAAATGTTCGTAGGCGGGGTTGATTATGATAATGAATGCCCCGGCCCGGAGGAATTCCCCCTCTTGCGCCTCTGTCCTAGCCGCTGGGCGCAATGTACTCTACTGCGAATTGGATGAGGAAGTTAAAGATTCTAGAAGGCTGACGAGGTAGAGAGATGAGGAAGGCACCTCTCTGAGACCTCACGGCGCAGCTTGCTCACCC